GAAACATCTTGATGACTGTTCTATGGCAGCTTCCAATAGAATTCAGAATCTCTCAGTGTGTCTCAGGTTTTGCTGACAGGCTATTGGCAGTATCCCACTTTGTCTTCTCCCAGCATTCTTCTGTTGATTGCTGAGGATAGGTTTTGTCTCTGGGGCCTGTTTTGCTCATGTTCTGGAAAATTAAGGAAGACATAGAAAAGATGGAGGCAACATCAGGCCAGCAATAGTGGTGATGATTACACTGAGATTTAGCCAGAGGATGTGAAGGAGAGGTGAAAGGAAAGCATTTCCTGAGAGCAGCCCAGGGTGTAGCAGTAAAAAAGGACAGCCCCAAGGCAGAAAGGTTCATAGTGGTACCCACAGCACAGCCTGATTGGACAATCTAGAGATCCAACATCTCAGCATGGCTCAAATTCTGCCTTACTCTTTCTCCTTGAATGAAGCTTCTAATATCTCTGATTCTTATTGTCTTTAAAAAAGAAAAGAAAAAGAAAAGTGGAGACAACTTACAAGGTTTTTCTTCTCTAGTCCTAATTATAATGGCAGTATCCTGAGACCAGCGCTTCAAAGGGTATGACCTCCCCTTCCAAAACCACTGAAATATTAAAATCCCCAGACCTGGCTTCAGTTACTACAAATGGGAAGCTCTGAGTCTTAGCCAGCTCCATCTATATTTTCTCCAAATGCTCCAAATGATGATGGTGATGGTGGCCAGTTCATGTAAGAACATCTTTGACAGAGTACATGCAGAACACCATAGACTTTTCACAAAAGATGTAACAGCAGACTTCTTAGTCTATATGCCACAGTGGGTTGACTTCTAAGAAAATGCTTAGAGAGAGAATTGTCTCTTCTGCAAGACACACTAGCCCCAGTGATGAATGTATTGACCTCAGAAGTGCCAGGAGGGGAAACAGATCATGTTAGAATTGATAAGCAGTCACAGATTCACATTGTGCTTACCTGGAAACTTCCAGTGAGTGGCCTCCAGAACACTTTTTATTCTCATCTTATGGGAAATATAAGCATTCCTAGTGATAGGATTATCAGAATGGAATGATTTTTGTTGTGTGTTTTAGGGTTTTGTAAAGTTTTTTGGAGGGAGTGGAGGCAGGGGCGGAGGGCGGGGGCGGGGCTGGACCTGCTTAGCTTTCTTGGCTTAAGAAAATAGAGATGAAAGAAAGAATTTTTTTCCTGTCTTCCCAACAATCAAGTGTCATATATTCCTGACTGAACAGAATAAAGTTGACTTGAGATGCAAAAAAGTACATGTGCAATAAAACAAGGCCTAGCTCTAAACCAGGTGCAAAATATAAGTGAGACCATAGGGAAAATTGTTCAGAGAAGGTTATTATCTCTTTTGCATTGAGAGCTCTTGAAATGATAATTCAAGTTTATGTATTCTTAGATTTATTCATTAGGTTGGCACCATTTAACAACACAATAGCATCAACATTTGCAAGTTCTGTTCCAGCTAAGTTAAACCAAATGTATACAGTAGTGGATATGAAAGAAGGTTCAGCCTATGTATGAAAAGACTGTCAGTTTTAGCAACAACTCACAGTTCAAACACACCAAAAGAGAGAAATAGTAAAATGATAATTTCCCCCAAGCAAACTAATTTGAAAAACTATTAAAAGTATTCTGAGATAAAAGTAGAATGTGACAGGATAGCCAGCAGAGGCTCACATTCCAGAACTTCAAAGGCTTGAGGACCGAAGATGATGCACCTACCCAGTTTTATGAATCAGGTGGGAAAGAGAATAGACTAAGATCAAAGACAGGCTCTGCACAAAAAGCAGTGTCCTCCCCACAGTCCCAGCTAACCTAACTACATAACTCTTCATTTGTTTGAGTAGCTACCAGATACATATATGATTATTCTATCTTGTTGAAGTTCCCAATCAGACTAGGCAGAAAAGGCATGTACAATCAAAGCTAGTAGAGATGAGATTAAGGATAGCTTGGGAGAGAGATGGGGAGATCTATGCTAACTTATAGTGTCAGCAAATCTGACAGAAGCAAAATAAGTTAGTCTCAATGGATGAGAGAATGAGGAATTCAACATTTGTACGTCAGAAATCAGTAGAAATATCATGATAAAAAGAAGACAGATGAGCAGGAGGCATGTGTTGTAGGTGTATAGGAGAAGAAAATGGATCCTGGAGCCCCCAGTAGCTCTGCTCTGCTGCTCTTCCACTTGCATTTTTGACTGGATAAGAGGTTCCAGTGCCCAGGCTCTCCAGGCATGGCAGATCAAGTTCTAGATTTATGGCATATTTGATTTTCCTTAAGAACCTATTCCCAGAGATAAATATGGTTAGGAAGACTAAGATTCAATGAGAGAACTGGTCTTCTGACTTGGAAGCAATATACTTCTCTGATTATTGCAGACAAAGAAAATAACCTCACCCCCCCCAAAAAAATTGAAGATTGGGGGAATAAAAAGACTCTCTTAACACTGACTCTTACATTTTCTTTCTCCCCTTTCATTGAACTAACTGGTCATAACCTTCTTTTCCTAATTCTTCTGCCATACAGGGAAACACTTCGAGCTAAGGAGTATTTTATTTTTATAAGATTGAACCTGAGTAAACAAGAAATCCCTAATTCAATGAATAGCCAACAGAAGAATTTGGGTTAATAGGGGAAGAAAAGTTAAGCTTTTAGTCAATTGCCTTCAAAGATCTTATTTAAGAACTTTTTCTGTCATTTAGATGTGCCATCAATGATGGAAAAGAGGGATCTCTCTAAAGGCATTATGAGTAGTAGAAAATGGTATCATATTATTGGTTGAGGCTTCTGATAATTAATTTTTCCATGGCTACCAATAAAGGTCAAGAGATTGAGAAGTATGGTCTTCTACATTATAGTAATTCATTCATATCAATTTCTATGTTCCTGTTTTGAAAGACATATTCATTTTTATTTTAAAAATATCTTTGGAATGTTTTTGGGTTGTGTCTTGTTTACTAAAACTTGTTGGGGATGAAAATGAGCGAGACTGAGTAAGGGAGAGACAGAGACAGATAAAGTTGCCCAAATGACTTCTTAAAACTTAAATAGCATAAGAAACAATAAAATGCTTCTTAGAAGTGTAAAATTTTTGACCCATCATCCAAAGATGCTGAATCAGTACATCCGAGGCTAAGCACTTAATTCAGTGTTTTTAATAAGTTATCCAGTATATTCATTTACAGGTGGTCCTGACCAAACTGAGCAACTTATATATCATTTCATTGGACAATAACAGGATAGGGAGCGCAAGAACAAGAGCCCTTAAATGGAATCCAATCAGGCTAAGGCAACATATTAGTTAACAAAGAATCAGACCTCAGTTGGATAGGCTGGAGTCTTTCCATCTGACAACACAGAACAGCAGGTATGTTTCCCTCATATTTGCAAAGTCGCCTATTTGTAAGCCACAGGGAAGTTCCACTTACCATAAAGGCAAATCAAAATGGCTGCAAGAAGCATAGCTAACAACACTGGAGTTGTCATGGCAACTGCATTCAGTGTGACTAGAGCTGAGAAAACTGGAGGTAAGACATAGGCAATGAAGAACCTGAGACAAGGAGTATGCTATTAAGTTTCAAAGGATTTCTGTGTGTCTGTGTCTTTATGTGCTTGTGCACGTATGCATGTGCATGTGCATGCATTTACATGTGTATTAACCTACATTACATTCCAAATAGAAGAAATCAAAAGAAAATAGGATGGACCCCTTTCAAGAATGACTGGTGTATAATTGACTCATGAAGCATTTTTCTTTTTGCCCTTTTGTGTTTTTCCAATATGTTTTCAGTATTTTAAGTATGGGCAACTCTATGAAATACTAAATGCATCTCTTGAAATCAACCTCCAACACAACACTCAAATCCAAAGATGATAAAGATGACTCTAGAAAACACCCACTAAAGACTTTTATTTAATTAAAAATACAAATTGTTGCATTTTCATGGAAAATATTGAGATAAAAAATACCAGCAGTATTAGTTTTCAGAACCTTCATGTACTCCATTCTACCATGTACTGCTTTCTTAGTACCTGTGGCATGAATTTGGCCCATGAAACTGGAGCCTCCTAAAAGATTGTGCCTATAGCTCTCCTCGAGTGAGCCATTTTCTTGACAACAGTATGCTATCAATCAAGTTAACACAGACACCACTTCTTTGCAAATCACTTCTTTTTTGGCTTCTTTGCAAATCATTTAAAGGAGTTAGTATAAAATCTCAAGGCTGATGTCAGTATGATACAACCTCATCCAGTTCACAAGCCAATTAGCAAGTGACCTTATATTCTATCTGATATATTAGTGTCCTGAACTCCCTGAAAATATTTCCCCAGAACTCCTGGTGGGAAGACACTGTCATATAGTGTTTATATTCAAATAATCAGCAAATATACAAAAGCACATGTGACCCATCCCAATGCATAATATTATTTAAAAATACATTTAAGGCTCGGTTTTATGACCCATGCCTATAATCCCAGCTTCTCAGGAGATAGAGGTAGGAGGATTATGGTTAGAGGGCTGGGAAAAACTCTAAAAGTAAAGGGGCTATGGGTTGGAGGGATATATGGCTAAATCCTCAGTTTCATCAAAACATAATAATTGTAAATTTTTTGTCAGTTTTGGGGCCTGAACTCTGGGCCTGGGTGCTGTCTCTCAGCTCTTCAGCTCAAGGCTAGTGCTCTACCACTTGAGCCATAGCTCCACTTCCGGCTTTTTCTGCTTATGTGGTACTGAGGAATAAAACCAAGAGCCTCATGCATGCAAGGCAAGCACTCTACTACTGAGCCACCTTCCCAGCCCCAATAATAATAATATTAATAATACATATTGGTACAATATAAGCTTTGGAATCACTGGCCAAAATAGCCAGGTAACTATTTTTTAAATCTTCATGCAACTATACATTTGCTAAAAATGTAAAATTACATCTAAATACATTTAAAAGTAAATTAACATAAAGGTGTAAAATTAGTCAAAGTAAAAAAGAAGAGATTGAGTGAAAATTTAAAAGCAATAAACATCTCACACCTAAATACAAGGTGCACACAATACAGTCCTTTCTCTCTCTCTCTCTCTCTCTCCCTTTCTTTTTTTTGGACTGTTTCATTTCCTAATTTACTTCTTTGACCCCCCCCCATCATAATGCTTCATCCTCCTCCTGTTCACAAATGATGCTTTTACTGAAACTGGATCTGCTGTGACAGCAATGTCCTGGCTCTGCTTTCCTGGTCCTTCAATTTGTAGTATGTTTTATTTGAGTCCTGGATCCAGCTTTATATTAAAGAGAGACAAGTTCCCTCCCAAAATATATAAGCAAATAAAATAGATGCAGGTAGCATGAAAGTTAGAATTGCCTCAACTCCTGGAAATTTCAACATGATCTTTGTTCTTCACAATGGTCTCTCAGTTGATGGGAATAAAATAAGGTTGAAATTGCTTCTCACAGTCTGGCTCTGTTGGGGGCATTTTCACATAGACTCCTGTTGTAAGAGGGCTTCTTTTCTTTAGCTGCCAAACACAGAAAGAAACAGTCATTGTTATTAAAGAATACAGAAGCATTTCTAGCCAAAATAAGACAGTAAATATTAGGTCTCTATCCTGATGAAAATGAATGTTCACAATATACAGAACTATAAAAGTTCAACTAATTTTTCATTCAGCTATTTAAAAATGGTTTTAGAGGGGCTGGGAAGTTGGCCCAGTGATAGAGTGCTTGCCTTGCATGCATGAGGCCCTGGGTTCAATTCACTTGAGCTGTGGCTCAAGTGGTAGAGTGCTAGTCTTGAGCTGAGGAGCTGAGGGACAGCACCCAGGCCCAGAGTTCAGGCCCATGACTGACAAAAAAAATGGTTTTAGACAAATAATTTTGTACTTTGGATGTATAATGGAAATTTAGCAAATAAAATCTGGGATTTTCATTTACTTGGATGTAAAGGAGACCAAAATAGCTCAGTTACATAGACAAGAGAATAGCAGCAGCATTACATGAGCAGCCTACAGGAGGGCCCCAAGAGATTGTTTTCAGATGAATTACAGGGACATGTAGGAGAATAAAACTACATCCAGGTGGTCGTGGCTAGCAGCATTTTACCCAACCTAATCTTGTGTTTCAAGGTTATTAACTAAGTACCATTGCCATGAAGGGAAAGGGCAAAACAGCTGCCCTTGTTATTCAGTTACTCAAAATGAAACCTTGCTCAGAAGCACAGGCATTCAGTGTTCTACACGTTCACGTACAGTATCAGTCATCCTGAAACCCCAAAGGCCAGCGCTTAGGGTTCCAGTGTGTTTTTCACCATTGCCTTTCCTCATCTTCATTTATTGCTTCATCTCAAGAAATTTCATCTTCACACCATCATCTGGTCAGTAGACACTACTAAAGGTTTCCCCCATCAAACATGGTACATTGTCAGTACCTCACTCACCATTTTGCTCAAAGAAACAGCTGTGATTAGGAAGCTATAAAAAAACAACCCGGAACTAACTGCTGCCAGTATCCAAAGGAGGAAATCAGAATCTGGGCATGGCTCTGGATCTGTGACAGAGAACAAAGCAGAACCTCCCTGAGACAGATTCAAACTCAAGACTGTTTGCCTCATCAGTGAACAAAATAAATAAACAACAACAAAAAAAACAAGTTAGAATTTTGAAGACCTTGCTATCTAGACCTAAACTGTGATAAGAGCCACAGTGAAGTCTGGCTATTTGAGATGACCTCCCCAAGGTATCTTATTGCAGGCACAAGACCAAATGTCACGAACACCACAGCAGGTGCCTCACCTGGCGGCAGAAAACACTTTCTCTGGGCTCATTTTATTTCACAGACAGAATTCTGCATAACTCACCACCCATCATAAGCAAGGCTAACAGGATGTAGAGAATTCTTAAGGAAAATCTCCCACATCACCTGAAGTTAAGAAATAACAGTTTCCATGCAAAGAAAACTGCATCCCCAACAGATGTCAACATACTGAAATGACTTTGCTCACCAATGACATAAATCCGGGTTCCATTGCCCATGCCCGCGTAGTATGGTGGTGGGTACATGAGCTCCACCTTGCAGATGTAGAGTCCCATGTCTGCGGCCCGCAAGCCTTGGATAGTAAGGTTCACTTTGTTTCCACTGGAGGTCCCCGAGCAGGTGGGGTCATCTAGGAAGGCCAGCTCGTTCTCCACTGTGTACGTTGTGGCGCAGACCTCAATCATCTGGCTGCTGGTCTGCCTCAGCACTGTAACCCGGACCTCAGAGGCATTGTGGAGAGATGAGTACTCACACACAAAGCTGGCGACACCCTGGATGCTAGCCAGCACCACATCAGGCTGGACCACGTGGATGGCTGACATGGAAAAGCCAAAGGCAACTCAGTGAACTCGTGTTCATTCATGACAGGCCCCAGGCACCAACTCTGGCTGGGGAATGTCTCTCTTTGATCAGCCCACAGCTCCTGGGCCTTAGCTCTGCTTCAACAAATACCTCATCATCCCTCAGCCCCTTCCCTCTCCACCCACTCCGGCATAGCCTCTGCTCCTCAGATGTAGCTGTGTGCCCGCTACTCTCTATAAGTATGTTTCTTTGTGAGGGAATAGTTCCTTGAACATGGTGGGTTATGACAGGAGGAGCACTGATGTGACCAACCAAAGGTCAGGTTTTGTCATGAAATAAGTCACTGAGGAAGTCACGACTCTCCATTTCTGTCACAGATAGAAAGATGGGACTAGATGACATGCTCTCACAGTACCTACCAAGCCTGGTATTTTAAGGTTAAAGTGGAACTCTACTACTTGGGAACTATAATAAGTCGTAGGCACAGTTCTGGAGATTGAAGTACACAGTTTGCTTAATTTCTCAAAGTATATGGAACTGTACCTCCATCACCCAGGAGCAACAGAGCCATGGCTCCCAATGCCCTGCATCCCTTCCCTGACTGATGGTTGTAGAGTAGCATGTGCTGCTAGATGAAGAAGCCACAGAGCCAAGGGCACCCGGTTGTTTCCTCTCTGGGTTGAGGCAACCTTGCTGTTAACTTCTACAGGCTTCCCCTGACCAGGCCACCACCTCTTCCATCGTCCCTCTCTCCTTCCCTCAAACACTCTTATTTTCTTTGTTTTTTTTTCTGTCCCTTCTAGCTTTTACAAAATAAGGGAAGTTATCTTTCCATTCAAAAAGGTTTGCATTATAAAACTAGTGGCTTCATAGTCAGGCATGATGGCCCCATACCTGTAATCCCAGCACTCAGGAGGCAGAGGCTGGAGGATTATAAATGTAAGGCCAGCTTGGGCTACCTATTGAAACCTTGTCTCAAGAAAAAAAATGGTGGCTTTCTGTTACATTATCTTTTGATAACTAACCAGCTATTGTCTTGTCAGTATTACAAATAACCCACCCCCCAAATTTAGACTGAATACCATCATTCATCTGTGTTACCTGTTGCAATTTAATTACAATGTTTATGCAAGTTCTGCCTATTAAAAGTTTTGTGGGGTAATTAGATCTGATACTTCTTTTCACTTCTGGCTTATAAACTTCTACATACAATATTTACATCATTACCAGATAAGCTGTTAGCAATTTGATTGTAATAAATCTAAACATAAGAAAGACCAATTCCTTGCCCCTTCGTAGATGATATCTCACTTATCACTCAATCAATCCACTAAATTATCACACTCAAATATTCAATATCCACCATGGGAAGATCCTAGATACAGGTGGAGAAAACTTTCCTAAAAAGGAAATTGGCATATTACTAAGGATATTAACATTTACCTATTCAAATGCAAAGCAAGAAAAATGAGAAAGTACATATGAATAAGAAACTACATATGAATCTATTATCTCCAGTGCATATTAAATAATCAAAGCTCTTTTGCATTCCCACTTTGTACAAACCACAGTCTTTCTTAACTAATGTTTAAAGAAAGAAGGGGAAGAGTCAATGGGAGTGTTCATTTTTAATCAGCATAACAAGCTTGGTGTTTATCTGAAAATTAAGAGTCTACATCTGAAATTCATAATTAAGTCTGGTAGAAATCAAACACCTTATGCCAAACAGACTAAAACCTGCCCTCCCTCACTCCTTTTTTCCTTCCTTCCTTTCTTACTTCTTTCCTTCCTTCCTTCTGTCCTTCCTTCCTTCCTTCCTTCTCTCCTTTCTTTCGTCCTTTCTTCTTCCTTCCCTTCTTCTTTCCTTTCTCCTATTGTAATTCCAAATAACTAGCTATCTCATTTATAGACTAGATTAAGAAGACTTCAGAACCTCTAATGGAGTAAGGAAAGTGCTTTTTCCATGTTATGCTTACTTTTCAGGTTGTTTTTTTTTTAAAGAGGAAATCTTGGGCTTCATCTGGCAGTAGTCAGAACTATGGATGTCTCTTCCCTCTTAATTATTTATAGCATCTTCTAACACTATAGAGGTGTCTGAAATTGCCCAGGTCTGCAGAACCAACTCACATATGCTCATTAAGTCTCTACTGAAGTGTAGCGCTTTGCTATGTGCTGTATCTTTATTTACTGGCTGCTGTCCATTGTCCCATGCTTGCCTTAGACTTCATATCCAGCTAAACAAGAAGACTGAAGGTTCACCTTTCACTTCTGGCTTTGCTATAAATCACTGCCCTTAAGTGATGAAAGAAATGAAACCCAGGTAGGTGAAATAACTCCTCCACTCTCATGTTCCAGAAGTTTCTACTCACCTTTAGAGAGAACAGGGATGAAGAGAAGAGAAAACAGGGCAGTGCAGAGCCAGTTCCTGAACACCAAATTCAGCCAAGCCCTGTGCCTCTGAACTCCAAGACAAGCCATGGCTTTATGGGAGATGGGCTCAGGTCTTCAGGAAGCAGAATGAAACCCTTCAGGATCCTGAAGCTGCGAAATGTGTTTGAACCCACACAGATTCAAGGACTTTATATAGACACCTTTGATCAGACAGGTACACACGACACGTGCAAACCCAGAAGGCACCTGAATAGACAGTCTTTCTGTTTTGATTTTACGAGAAAGGAAGACGTGGGTTTAGCTGTTACGTCGAAAAGGCAACCTCAAACATTCAAAGTAAAACTGCTCAAAACAAGACAATACATTGATGGAAAAATCTACTCAACTTGAAATGGAAGCCTTATATTCATGTTAAGGAACTGGATAGTTAAATGGAGACTAGACCTGGAGAATAGAATTTCCTGGAGTGCAGGGGTCCTCTGCAAGTCCCAATTTTATCTAATCATCTGATCATCTTTTACTGCCTAATTCACTCCATCCACATCCCCACAAATGCTAAGCCGCAAGCTCATGGAGTCTTGAGCAAATTGCAGATTTTGTCAGTCACCACCATTTGTAAGAATTCTATGTGAATATCTTCCATTAGGTGATAGATTTTTTTCAAATACAATATTTTATGCAAAACACCTAAAATTAAAAATAAATGTGTCTAGAGTTTTTAAATTTAGCGAAGATGTTAGACAGAACAAAAGCATTTGTGAACACTATTACTTGAATCATAAGTACTGTTATTTTAAATGTTTATTTAGAATCTTTAATATTTAGGATATTTAAAAATTATAATATACATACCTTATTGTGGGTGACCTCAACACTGTAATCTTATCTTGGATAGAATATCCACACCATAAAGAACCCAATTTCATGATCCAGGTGCATGCTCAAGCAGGAAGGAGACACTATTTAAAAAAAAAAAAATAACAGCAGGATTAGAGGTGTGCTTGAGTGGTAAAGTACCTGCCTACCAAGCAGGAGATTCTTAAGAACAAACCCCAGTACCACCAAACAAAATCTCAGAACTAAACAACACCACTGACAAACCAGACTTAATACACAGCTATAGAGTATTACATCCAATAACAATGGCCTACAGTCTTCTCAGCAGCCCATGGATCTTCCTCCAAAATAGATTACATACTAGACCATAAAACAGCTCTTAACAAATGTCAAAATAATTTCCTGGGCCCCAGGAACATAATAGAATAAAATTAGACATCAATATCAAGGAAAACTACAAGAACTATTCAAAATGCATGAAGGTTGAAAAACAGACTTTTGAATGATCAAGGAATCATTGAAAAAATAGGAAAATCATTAAAAATTTCTAGATTCAAATGAAAGCGAAAGCACATCCCTACCAGAACCTCTGAAACACATCAAAGTTCGTACCAAGAGAAAAGTTTATAGCCATGAGTTCTTACACAAGAAAATCAAGGTGATTGAAAGCAACTCAAGCTCTTAAAAAACCAAGAAGACACAAACTCAAAATCAGTAGTTGGAAAGAAATAATAAGAATGAATGAATGAGACAGACAATACAATGAATCAAATAGTTGCCTTTTTGAAAAGATAAACAAGATTTTTAAAAACTTGAGCCACACTAACCAATAGAGCAAGAGCGAAGATCCAAATTAATGAAATTAGAGATAGAAAAAGGGACACCGTTATAGATGCCAATGAAATTCAGAAAGCCAATACAGAATATATAAAAGCTTACATTCTATCAGACTGGAAAACCTAGAAAATTTCTATGACTTACCAAAATTGAACCACAAGGATATAAACAATCTACATACATCTGTAATAAACTATAACATAAAAATGGTAATTTTGGAAAATTATAAGGCTGGATGCATTTTATGAATTCTACAAGACATGTAAAGAAGAACTAACACCAATGCTTATCATATTATTCCAAAAAGATACAAAAAGAAGAAATGCTACAAAACTCATTCTACAAAGCCAGTATTACCCTAATAACAAACAGGAAAAAGAATAAAAGAAAGGTATAGACCAGTTTCCTTGACAAACATAGACCAAAAAATTCTCAATAAAATACTTTCAAACTGAATTCAACCATACATTAAAATATCATACACCATGATCAAGTTAGTTTTATTCCAGGAATACAAAGAATTCTTCAGCATATACAAATCAATAAGCATAATACAGAATATAAAAGGAATCAAAGACAAAAAAATCACATGATCATCTCAATAGATACAAGAAAACTAAAGCCTTTGACAAAATTCAACATCTTTTCATGATAAAAAGAAATTCTCTGAAGAAAAATGAAATACAGGGAACATACTCTTTTTTTTAATTGTGAACATACCGTACAGAGGGGTTACAATTACATGGGCAAGGTAAAGAATACATTTTTTATCAAGCATTGTTGCCTCCTCCTTTGTTTCCCCTTCCCAACCTTTCCCCTCTGCCATCCCCCCTCCCCCCCTCCCCTACCAAAGAAAAACTGAAATCATTTTCTCCAAAGTCAGAACTGAGACAAGGACATCTATTTCCTCCACTCTTATCAGTACTTGAATTCTGAGCCACAACAATAAGACAAGAAGAAGAAAAGGGGATATATAGTAAAGGAAGATGCAGATGATGTGATCTTATTTGAACATCCTATACCTAAAGGACCTTAAAAGCTCTACCAATAAAACCTTCAAATCTCATAATTACCTTCAGCAAAGTAGCAGGATATTAAATCAATCTACAAACATCAATAGCTTTTTTTATATGCCAACAACAAATAGGCTGAAAAAGAAATCAGAAAAACAACCTCATTCATAATGACCTCAAAAACAATCTAGAAATAAATTTAAAGAAATCTGTAAAACCTTAAAAAGTAAGGTACTATAGGCTCACAATTGTAATCCTAGTTATTCAGGAGGCTGAGGTCTGAGGATTGAGGTCCAAAGCCAGCCAAGGTAGGAGAGTCCCTGAGATTTTTGTTTTATTTTGTTTTGTTTTTTTTGTCAGTCAGTCATGGAGCATGAACTCTGGGCCTAGGTGCTGTCCCTCAGCTCTTCAGCTCAAGGCTAACATTCTACCCACTTCCAGCTTTTTCTGCTTACGTGGTGCTGAGGAATCGAATCCAGGGCCTCATGCATGCGAGGCAAGTACTCTACCACTGAGCCACCTTTCCAGCCCTGAGATTCTTATCTCCAACTAACCATCAAAGCCAGAAGGGAAGCTGTGGTTCAAAGCACTAGCCTTGAGCAAAAATCCTTAGCAATAGTTCTAAGGCCGACAGTTATATGAGTACAGTAATCCAAGAGGTTTGTGCAGGAGTCAAGAGAAGAGGCTGAGTTTTCATTAATACATGAAGCTATTTCAGTTGCCCAAGCTTGATGATGGCTTACACCTATAATCCTAGCTACTTGGTAGGTTGATATTCCTAAAGATATCAGCTCAAAACCGCCAGGTCAGGAAAGTTTATGAGACTCTCATTTCTAATTAACCCCCAAAAATGTGGAGCCTGTGGCTCAAGTGGTAGAGCACAAACCTTGAGCATAAAAGCTCAGGGAAAGGACTTGGGTTCTGGGTTCAAGCCCAGGACTGGGACCACATAAACAAACAAATAAACAAACAAAAATGCCTTGAAGAAAGAAGTTGAAGAAGATACAAGAAAAGCCCATGTTCATGGGTTAACAAAATCAATAGCATGAAAATGAGTATCCTTTCAAGAACAACTGTCTACAGATTTGATGCAATTCCATCAAAATTCCAATTACATTCTTTATAGAAATATAGAAAGCATAAAAGATCCCACATAACCCAAATAATCCTGGGCAAAAAGACAAACATTAAAATTATCACAATATCTGTCTTCAAATTATATCATACATTAATGAGAACAGCATGGTACTAGCACAAACATAGACATGTAGAAAAATGGAATAGAATAAAGATTCACAAATAAGCCTACGTAGCTAGAGCCATCTGACATGTGTTGGAGAAACAGATAGCTTCTTCAACCAATGGTAGTGGAAAACTGGATATCCACATGTGGAAGAATGTAATTAGATCCCTGTCTCTCTTTCTGTATTGCAATCAATTCACATTGGATCAAGGACCTTAATGTAACGGCCAAAATTTTGAAAAGCCTACAAGAAAACACTGAAATATGTAAACATAGGCAACAATGTCCTAAATAGGATTACAATAGTTCAGGAAAATGAGCAAGAATTGACAATTGGAATGACATAAAACTAAAACATTCTGCATAGCAAACAAAACAATCACTAGTAGAATGGGAGGAAATTTTTGCCTGACAAGGGATAAAAAAACAGAAGATAAAGAGCTCAATAATTAAATTCGAGAGTGATCACAATGCATTGTATTCATAAACTGCTTTGTCAAATGGCAATTCCTTTGTACTTAAAGATAAGTTTTAAAAAATTAAATTCCAAAAGAACCAAAAGTCCAGTTAATAAATGGGCTAATAAAGTAAACATACAGGGGCTGGGAAGGTGGCTCAGTGGTAGAGCGCTTGCCTTGCATGCATGAGGCCCTGTGTTCAATTCCTCAGCAACACATAAGCAGAAAAAAAAAAAAACCCAGAAGTGGCACTGTGGCTCAAGTGGTAGAGCTGAGGGACAGCGCCCAGGCCCAGAATTCAAGCCCCATGACCGGACCCAAAAAAAAAATTTTTTTTAAATAAAAAACAAATAAACATACAATTCTCAAAAAAGGTGTAAATTGTAAATTGATAACCATGAAGAAATATCCAAAATTCTTAGTCATACAGGCAATGCAAATCAGAATTACACTGACACTCTACCTCAAATCAGTCATAATGACTACACTCAAGGAAAGAAACAACAAATGCTGGAGAGAATATCCAAATAGAGGAACCTTCACACTGTTAAGAATGTAAATTAACGCAGCCACTGTGGAAAGCAGCATGGAAGTTCAAAAAAAAAAAAGGCCTACCAAATAATCAGTACCAAATGATTAATACCATTCTTGTGTGTGTGTATCTCTGAAGGAATGTAAATCAGGATAAAATAAACAACTGCAGAACCATGTTTGTTGAAGCACTATTCATAATAGCCAAGATATGGAATCAGCATATGTGACCAACAATCAATGAATGGATTTTTTAAAAGTGGTATATACACAATAGAGTATTTTCAGGCATAGAGAAGAAT